GCACCCAAACTGCCGATCAAGATAATAAATAAAAGTTTCATGCAATAAATTCACTTTCGTCCTACTGACCTCCGATCGGGATGCCAACTCCACGGCCCATGCAGGCATTGTTGGCTGTCTACTCCCACCGACTCGACAGCCTTCACCGTTCCTTTTTACGAGCGTATCATCGGTTCGCATGGCTATCGCCTCCGGGCGTCTATACCAAGCAGAGCAACGCCTGCGGTCTGCTAGGGTTCGAGCTCAGGTATTTGGTGTCGCGCTTCAACCTGATACTGGATTAATCACTTTTGGGGATGGGTAATGGGGTATTTTTTGGGTGCCAGTTTGTTCTCTTTAATTGGTCTATGAATTGGCCTGGCTTTATGAGCTCTGTGGTCAAACCTTGTCTAACTCATCCTGCAGCCACCAGGGGTTCAAGATGGGTGGACTGTAAGTATATATAGGTACTAATATTACAGTGGCAAACACTATCCCTGTTAAAAAATAAGGTGATCACGTGCTGAGCTTTCCTTCCGGCGTTTTGGTAGTCGTGAAGGCCAGGGTCGTTTTTATAAAGAAGGTTGATCAAGAATGACCCAGTCTATAGCTTTTTGCATTAAGGCAGAAGTGTTTATTCCCCTGGCTGCCGACTTGTCACGACCATGACCGTAGCTGCAGCCCTGGGGGCTTATCATGGCGATGTCCTGTTTAATTTCCTAGAGAATTTACGAACGAACCTGGAGTAAACGTTCGGAACAGATCTTTCCACGTTCCATCGGGATAAATATTTGAGCTGAAATCCATCAGCTACTGAGGAACAACAGCATAATATCCACAGTCAACAGGCTGTCAGGAGCATATAATACCCAATTATTTGCTATATTGACAGCAGAAGTACGAGCTAACTACTGTTGTACGGCAGCTAGCCGACGCTCCTTCATTTCGATCAATCACGGTGCTTTTTTATCGTATTCGAAGTCCAGGCTTTTATTTCTTGCACGCACGACCAACAACCTGATAAGGATCCCTTATAAACACCACAATAGTTTTGTGTAATACGGAACCGGTGGTGATAGGAGTTATATGGGTGGAACCTATTAGGGAAAGTAAAAGAAAAAACCTAGGTAATAAACGAATAAAATTAATTACACTAAATGACAGACGTTGATGGTGGGGATTTGGCGCGACAGGGGGAGTGGGGTTGGTCCTGCCTCCGTTGCGGTGATTTGAAACATGTCCAGCAAGGTTCCTGCAGACCATAGGAAAAGCATTGGCTGCCAGAAAGACCTACCAGGACGGCGGAAAACGTCTGGCCGGGTGCGTCTCAATTATGGGAGAAGCA